TTACAGAAAATAATGTTTTAGTCCTTTTTATCAAATTATTAACATCCGCCTGAAACTTTGTACTTAAATATCAACGTTCTAATATGGAGATTGGCAAAGTTTGTCTATTTAATTAGGTGCTAAAAACTCGTAAATACTCATATGCTTTCCACTTGAATCCTAAGATAATTTGATGTCAAAATTGAGGAAAAGGTGGCCTACAAAAATATTGGGCCGTTTGGCGTGTCCTTCACTCCCAACATGTAATAACGAGGTTATATACGCCAACTGGCCTAATATTTTTATAGGCCACTTTTTTTCTGGATTATGTGATCAAAATATCTTACGATTCAAGTGGAAAGCAAATGGTATTTACGAGTTTTTAGTACATAATTAAATAGACAAAGTTTGCCGATCGCCAGATTGAAAACGCCCTAATTTCAAGAGTTTTCTTAAATAAAATAGTTGTAGGTTTCGATGAGATGAAGCTATTCACGAAGTTTCAGGCGAATGTTAATAATTCCATAAAAGAAATACTATCTCCTTATCATATTGCCTGTCTGGTATAACATAATTATTAAAATAAACTATTTGATGTTTTTATTAAAAATCATAATTTAAAAATATATTTATCTATATTAACGAATAATTGTTGATTGTTGAAGATATAATGAAGAAAGTTGGTTCGGCTTTTCAGTCAATGGCGGTCACTAACGGATTCGGGATTTAATTTTGGGGGGGTCTTCAGTCAGAAAGATTTTTTTTTTGTATGTATATATTAGGATAATTACTTCGGAGAAAAGAAAGAAACTAACTACCTATATGAAATGATGTTTAAGTAATTCTTTAAGTCCTATTAAATGTAATTAGACGAACAATAATACTTTTAGCGATAATTTTTTTCATAAAACGTTTTTATATTTTACCATTCTGTGGGGGAAGATTCAGCCCGAAAGTCCCCGTAGATTCGCCTGTGATGGCTGTACAGAATAAAAATAAATTTAATATTATTTATTTATTTTTACTTTGTACTTCCATTTACTGAAAAACCCAACCAACTTATCTTCAATATATTTATCTATTTTTGAAGCTGTTTATTAAATTCTTGAATTGTTTTTCAATAGATACTATGTATTTACAAATGTGATAAATATTCTGATTCGACCGATAATAAGATAGTCGAAGACAGAACAGTAAGCATTCCATTCTCTCCAGACAATTCATCAATAAATGTTATCACCAAAGGAGATTAGATTATCATTTTCCTTTTTCTGTAAATTATTTTTCTCACGATGGGACCTTCTAGCAGACAAAACAAAAACAAGATGACTCACATTCATAGAGATTTTAAAGCTGTCGAATGATTTTATCGCTATGAAGAATTTTACTGGTACAATCAATTTTAAAATATATGTTATTTATGTAGAAAGAAATATAATTATTTTTTGTGTCCTATAAAATTGTATGATTTTCAGTTACATCCTTGTTCCAAAAGATGAGCGATATTTGGTTAAATTTACCAGTTGTTTATAAATTATTAATAAATCCATTTTCAATTTTTGCTAGACGCTTAATGAAATAATTTCGTATTTAACAACAATATTAATAAATATGTTTGTCATACACATAAACTCAATAATGTACCAAGTAATATCTTGATTTCAAAATAAACAATCTTAGGCATTAGTTTCGTTGTAAATGTTTCTTCGTAAATGTTTCTTCTAAGCTATTAATTAACGTTATTATTATTTTGTTTTAAAGAAAAAATTTGAAGGGGTGTTATATAGTAACACCATTGATCCTGGTTGTTTAATTTTTCATAATTGCTGTTTTTTTGGTAAGAAGTCCACCACGTCATTCAGTTAATTAATAGTATTTTTTTGTAATCACAGGTGTAAAGTTATTGGTTTTGCATTTAAATTTGTAGAGATGAGGTTTGTAGATATGAACATAATTATCTAAGTTTTATATGAGATATTTTTAATGTTATTTTTTTTTTCATCTCTTTTATGATTTATGTACTATATGTTTTTTATAGTTAAATAATCCGTTTCTATTGAACCATCAATTTATTACTATTTTACAGTTGAATTAAATTGTTACGTAATATTCGGAAAACTATTAGTTAGAGGGGGGGATTATTTGCTCTATTTATATTTTCTAGTGTGTGAGATGCCTTTCATAATAGAAAGCCTTGATATTATCTTTGCATTCCTAGCGCCCTTGTCACAGAACAAGGAGCAACATGTTTTTTTCTACACAGTGCAATCATGTATGCTGCTAATACCCTACTCAATGGAATATTCTTCAAGAGGACGAATACTCTTCAGAATACGACAGGAATGCCATTTAATTATCTGGAAGGCCTAAGTGGGCCAAGGCATTGTCAACATGGCGACACACATAAGACCATCGCGGAGGGATAAATATACTCGAGACTATTAATAGTTAAGCCGTCGGGTCTTGGCCAAATATGGTCCTAAGGTGGACCGACCCGGTGTTGGATTACGGCATCTTGTCTAGTGTTTGCTCTATGATCCTCTTAGCGAATCTGGTTCACAACAGTTTGTTCCTCCTTGTGTTTGAAATACTATTCGAGGAATCTTCTGTCAAGATGCCAGGCGAATATCCCAAAGCCTTGGCTAAAAATAATACACGGCTGTTATATCTTCATGGACGAAAATTATTGGGAGTAATTCCAACTCAATGGTGAACGAGTTATTAATTAAAGTTTATTGTAAAACTAGTTATAAATTATTAAGAGGTAGTTAAGAAAAATATTAACGAAATTGATAGTGAGTGATTACAGAAGAAATTAAGAGTTAAATGCTATTATCATTTGAAGAAAACATGAGAATAAATAAACGTGTTGTTTGGATTAACAATAGTCAAGGAAAATTATCTAAACATCACGAAGATACTAAACTGAGGGGTGGGTGGGGACAGTAGCGCACCGCTTCGGAGAAGAGGCGAACCTGTTTAGTACCCGGCCAGGCCGAGAGAGAGTGCCACCGTGAGGAGCTAAGATGGCCGTGTGAGTCCAAGTGAGTTGGCTTTCAGTTATGTCGGAGAAGGGAGGTTCCGAACGGAGCTCTGCCAGCCCGCCCCAGCGGGTGGTGATCGGCAGCGAGCGGACCAGGAATCGGCGGCGGCTGTCATCCAAGGTGTACAAGTCTTCGTCACCAGCACCGGCTTCGTCCCCATCGCCTCCGCCATCTGTCACCGAGGAGCGATCCGCGGGCGACGGCAGCTCCAGGAGCGACGAGGAGGCAGAGGAAGCAGAGCTCGCGCGACTCCGCTGCCCCAGCGAGCGAGCGGAAGTCGTCGCGGAACGAGAACTCCGCCGCAGACGCCGCTGTTCCGATTACCCTGGCATCTCGTTCGGCGCCTCCATCTTCAGCTCCGACACCCTGATGAAGTTCAGTGTCATCAAGAACGAGCTACACAACGTCCTCAACAGCCAGCTCAAAAGGGTTAGTGTTTACAAAACCTTGCTTAGAACCTCTCACCTGTCAGATGGGCAACAGCTGATCAGCCCCTCTTGTTGCGCCGTAGGCCCCCCCACTCCTGTCTGATATGACGTAACAGGTGGTCATGTGACCAGCATTCTTCTCCTTCGACGTCACTGATGGGCGTCGCCCCTTGAGACCACTCTTAGAAAACATGCTTTATTGATTTAATTTTTTTTTCTTATTAAATATGAGCCGATGACAGTTTGTCGTATGGTTAATCCTCAGCAGTTGGAACAATGTTATCTCTGGCGAGATTGCTGCGATGACTCAGCGGGCCCTTGCACATCGTGCCCCCCCACTCCTCTTTCCACTTGAACCATCTGACCCCTTTCATAACTAGAATAGAAATATTATTTTGTCTATTTGAACTCATATCTACATACAGTCCATATTTACTATTTTACAATATTTTTTTTTTTAATTTATATACTTCAACACCAATCAATTATTTAAAAAAAAAAAACGAAAATATCTTTAACATATTTAATCAAATCATTATTTAAATATCTAAACATTTCTGTTATTTTCCACGTTATATAATAATGATAAAAAAAGTTTATTAATAGCTGTGATAGTGGGTTATTTGCCCTATAACCTTTAAACATTATTAATACATATTAGCATTTAGTATTTAACATTTTATTTTTTTTACAATTAAATTACTTAATTGTATATTCATAAAAATATTTTGCACACTTGTGGTGTGTTATGAAATTTTATTTTGTTGTCCTTTAAAATATGGCAGGATTCCAACTGTCTGTTTTGGCACCAGAATATAAACTTATCAATGTTGATATAACTCTATATTAACTGTGCAGTAAATAGGCTATTGCAATTAGAATATTTTTTTTTTTTTGTAATTGAAAAATTCTAGATTTTTATTTTATTTTTTTAATTTTATGTTTGAATTAATTAATCTGAAAATACTCTTTACTATAATTTAATTTTACAATTCTACAATTTCATTTTTAAATAATTTATTGTTTTAATTAATTTAAAATAATTCATTAATGAATTAAATCATTCATTAATAAATTAATCTGGGTAATACTTTTTTTTTTTTAAATCTTAGGTATATTCTATTAAATTTTTTCTCTTTAATAAACCTTTAAAGGTCTGTTCATATAAAAATAAATTAATATTAATCTCAATTATTTAAAAAATGAATTTAATGAGACCAATTGATACAATGATTTTAAGTTTTGATCAAGTATTTAAAATGGTGTGTTTGAAATTGCCGCCATCCTGATGAGAGCTGTTCTCCGACGTCATTGGTTAATCTTCAAGCGGACGGATATTGGTCATATGCTTCATGTTTCTTGATATTTTCTCGATATTATGTAATATTTCATCGGCTATTTATATTTGTTACTTCATTCAGTTATAAAGAATGGTTTTATGATTCATTTAAGTAATAAAAGTGTATTATTTATCCTGCTGGAGAGGGACTACTTTCTGGAAGGCGTGGCCTAGCCGGCGCCCCTGAGTACACACGTCCAGTCGAGTTGGCGAGTGGTAGCTGTCGTTTGGTTTGGTTCTTGCTCACCATATTGCCTGTCCGCTATTCGTTTTTTTCTTTCTCATTACTGTGATAATAGCACGTTACCTTACGTTCCGTTCATTACATTCTATCAGATAGTTGTAATATCGTTAATACGCTGTTAATTAAATAAAATAAAATTCGATCGCCATGACTACCAATATACAACAGGGCACATTATTAGACGTGTTGAAGAAAAAAATGAGGCAGACGAAAGAAGAAATGGAAAAATATAAAGAGGAATGTGAAGAATATCACAAAAGGTTGCAGCTAGAAATCATGAGGAGGGAGGAAGTGAGTTTTTGAAATTATTATTTAATGAGTATCGATCACAAAAACTCCATTTTTGTTATTAATCATTGTTTTTATTTAAAAAAAAAAAAAATATTTTAATCTTAACTTAAAAGTTTTAATTGTTGGAGAATCATTGTTCTGGGAAACTGTCATTTTTTTTTTCGTTTGCTCCTATGAATGAATAGTTGTTGATAGGTTTTGTTTTGTGCGAAAACACTCTTAGTGTATTGTTGTTGTATCCCTTTAAAACATTGCCGTTTGTCGGCCTTTGTGTTATGTATATATGTGAGTGACTATTATAAAGGTGTGTGTTGTATGGTAACACCCACTATTGATGCCCAACCCAACAGGAACTATGTGTTTACCCTAATCAATAGGCCCCTGGCCATTGACGCATTTTATTCTTTTCGTGCCGAGGTAATGCGAATCCCACGCATCGGCTGTTGTGTTGCCGAGCGGTGTGTTCAGGTATCACAGGTTCAAGGAGACGATGCATTCCGCCATTCCTCTCCTCTGTGATGTATCCTCGCAATATATATATATATTCGATACATTATTTTCATTATATTCTCGGATAGATATCTCGCCTGCCTGTTGTCGGGGAGCTGGGAACTCGGTGGATACATTGACCCCATCGCCTCCAGTCGCCGCTGTCCAATCGATCTGTTTTGTGCAGATATTTTCCCTTCAGTTAACTCCCGTCCAAAACTTTAGTAGATAATGATAATACTGCCTTCTTATCAGCAATTTACTTGTCAATTTAATGAATCAACTAAGGTGTGTCCGAGGGAAAATTCTTTATTTTTTTACCAAAACCTTATTTCGAATTGAATGTATATTAATTAATTGATATTTGACGAATCATATTAATATATTTAATCTGTATTCACAATATTTCTCACTTCTTCTTCGGTGCATACTATTTATTTTCAAGTTTATTATCAGCCAAATTTACTCCATTTTTTTTTTAATTTTGTCAAGTTAATGACTACACATAACAATTACGACGTTTTTGCTCGTCGAGCCATTTTACATATTTCAAAATATAAAGATTCTTTTTATATACCTAAAATACGCATGCAATTGGCATAAGTGAAAAGGACAGGCACATGATGGATATTTTTAGGTATATAAAAAGAATCTTTATATTTTGAAATATGTTATGTTAATATATGATTTTAAATTGAAAACTTAAACTTAAAAACTTTAAAAAAGCTTTTATTCTTAATATCATTAATCTTTATTGTCTCTGTTATCTCATCTTCTATTAAATCTTTAAGTTTCAATTTTTATAATTTTAGTTCAATTGTACTATCATAATCATCTGTACTTATTCTTAACTTTTCAAACTTTAAATTGTATTTCTTAGCTATTGTTGAGTTATGTGTGTAGTAATTCATCAATTGTAATATAGGGCGAAAATGACCCAAGTGGTTGAAGAGCCCAAAACATGTATAAATAAATAAATAAATAAATTGAAAACAAAATTTTAAACTTGAAATAGGCTCGACGAGCCGAAACGTCGTAATTGTTATGTGTAGTCATTAAGTTGACCAAATTTTAAAAAATTTGGTTGATAATAAATAAACTTGAGAATAATTTGTATTATTTATTATAAATAATTTTTTTTTCGTTTATTTTGAACTAATATATATCAAACTAAATGACAATATAGTGTTAAACTATATTAATTTTAATGAAGTAAACAAAAAAAACACGTGTCATTCAGGATTATCAATGTCCTCATTATCAAAATAAAAAGATGACAATCGATATACGTAAGATATATTTTCAGCAAAAAATAAATAAACACACATACATATATATCATAAGAGTTAAAGTTAAAAAATTAAAAAAATAGAAAATTATTTTTGGTTATAATTATAATTTGCAAAATTATATTTTTGTTACAGTATTAAATTAGAATTACATTAATAATTCACATAGTTGAAGTGGATTAAACAAAAAAAAAAAAAAAAAATATATATATATATATATATATATATATATATATATATATATAATTGAATACTGTAACAAACATATTATTTCGCAAGTTATAATTATAACCGAAAATAATTTTTTATCATAAATTCTTTGGAAGATTTTTTTGAGGAGATTCATACGCACATTATTTACTGGTAGTAAATCAAATTAACTCATAACAAGTTCTTTTTAACTTTAAAATAATATAAAATTATATAACATTATTTATGTAATATTATATTAATTTAATATATTCCACGATTTCATTATATAGGAATTTATTTAAATTAAAAAAAAAAGTAATGATGACTTGACTTGTTCCAAGACATAATCATTACCTGGAGGAAAAATATTCTTGTGCTAAAATGACTTTTTTTTCTTGTCTATTTTTATCCTGTGACGTACTCTTTTCTCTATGCCAACATTTTTTTTTTCTTTTTTAGTTAGCAGAAGTAAAATAAAATTGTTTTTAAACAATATTAAATTTATTTAAAAATTCATTTTTACAAGAATAAATTTTAGTAAATAATTCATGTTGAAAACAATATTATATTACTTTTCATCTCTGCTTGATAGTTAACTATGTTTTTTAATTGTTATTATTCTTTTACACTGATTTTGATGTGCTATTTTACGACTACTTTAATTAACATCTAGTTTCATAGGATATTATGTTTTGCATATTAGTCGATTTATATTTCGTTATGAGTGATGAGGTTTTGCCATTTGGTATTTGAGAAAAAGAGAAATAATTTTCTTATAGGCAATTTTGAAAAAATAATAATAAAATTGGAGTTTACACTTAAATGTTGAGTATTAGTGGAAATGTGTTTGATTGATGGTGGTGGATTATTGTTGAAGGGAAGTTGATTCAGGATTGCAACCATTGCAAATATTCCAACATAAATTATATAATATATTTAATCCATATAGTACATTAATTATATATATTGTATGGTTGATTTTTATGAATTTCCCATGACTGCAATCCCCAATCAACTTCTCTTCAACAGCCTGATGTGCTGCATTCAGTCTGTAAAAATGTTTAAAAGTTAGCTATATACAAGTACATATTTCAAACATTTTTTTTTTTTTTTTTTTAAATAAAAATATGAATAATCAAAATTTCAAGTATACTGAACATATTTATATATTGCCAAGTTATAGTTTTTTTTTTTACATTATTGTTCGAATTTCAATTATTATTAGACACTATTCATGTATTTATGAACCCCTTAAAAAGTTTTTAAAGATGAAGTTAGTATTTTCTATTTAAAAGGTAATTGTTGATGTATACTGTTAAATTCGTTTTTAAAAATTATGAAATAGGCAATTTTAATATGGGACACACTAGCGGATTCAGGATTTAATTTTGTTGGGAGGGGACTTCAGCCCGGAAGCTTTTTTTTCATATATATAGCGATAATTACTTTGGAAAAACAGAAATATACTAACTATCTATATGAAACGGTGTTTAAGTGATTCTTGAAGTCCTATTAAATGTAATTAAACGAGCATTAATACTTTAAGGTATAATTTTTTCCACAGAACATGGTTATATTTTACCATTTTGGGGGGAGCTTCAGCCCGAAAGCCCTCCCCCCTCCCGTAAATCCGCCTGTGATGGGACATGCCTTATAAATTGCTAGAATAAATATTAACATTTAACAAATAATATTAGAAATACAAAGCTTCCATACCTTCGGTTATGAGGAAGCAAAAAGTATCAAGTAAAAAATTAGTTTATATTTTAATCTTGAATCATCTCATAGATTTTCTTTTTACTTTTGTTATCAATTTCCGGAATTATCTTTGCAGATATAATAGCATTCTTCCCTGTACACTTTCATTTTGATATTGTGCTTGAAATAAAATAATAGTGTTGCCATTTTCTATTTCCTTTTTGAAATTCGGCAACTGTCGACAAAGTGAAGAGAACAATAGGTATAAAAGAATTGAGTAATGATAAACTGGATCGTCCATTTTGTTAGGAGCTATCTAATTTAATGTTTTACACCACGTTTGAAATATTGCTTGGAATCGTTGCTGCATTGTATATTTGTATATTAAGCTTTTTCTTCGATTTCATTAATAATCGATATGTTAATTGCTTTTTTTATTTTAAAATATTAAGACAGCATTCATGGGCTAATGCAGGGTAGGGCCCCTCCTCCCTAAATAATTTGAATTAAAATAAAATAAAAAATGTTCGCCGAAAATCCAAGAAAAATAATTGTTAAAACCTGTTATTTTATGTGTATATTGGTTTTCATATAAAAATATATTAATAATTTTAACTGTGGGTTGATGGTTGACTGTATTGAATAATTGAAGAGGAGAAGGATGGTTGGGTGATCAGTCAAAATAAATAATAATATTTACATTTTAATTAATGTAACAATATATTATTATTTATGTTTGCTAATTTTTTATTTTGACTGTTCACCCAATTATCCGTCTCTTCAATTATTCACTACAGTCAACTATCAACCCACAGTTAAAATTATTAATATATTTTTATATGAAAAACAATATATATATATATATATATATATATATATATATATATATATATATATATATATATATATATATATATATATATATATATATATATATATATATATATATAAAACAACAGGTTTTAAAAATTATTTTTCTTGGAATTTTGACAAAAATCTTCTATTTTATTTTATTTCAAATTATTTGATGAGGGGGGAGGCAATAACCCAACTCTGCATTAGCTTATGAATGCTACCTTAACATTTTAAAATTAAAAAAAAGCAATTATCATATCCATTGTTAATGAAATGGAAGAAAAAACTTAAAAACTTCTTGCTCACTCCTGTCCCCCCCTAATATGAAAGCTGAGTGAACACCTTGATAATATTAATTTTTTTATTTATCTTTACTTTTAAAGATTTGCGAAATAAATTCTAAATATACGAGAGTAAATATATGCGACATCCGCTTTTATTAGTATTCCTTGCGGATGAGTTTCGTTTGCTAATAAAATGGTTGACACGATTCTACGTGAGCTTACCTCACTCAATCTAAGACCAATCATAAAATTTAGCTTTCCTGTTTTATAGCTGATCAACTTTCTTTTTTTTTTTTTTTTTTTTGCTCTCTTCCTTTGAATTAACTTACAGGATTGTCTGGAGTTCGTCATATCTTGTTACTGGAATCGATATATCGACAGTTCTTGCGGCGCCTTATCGTCTCTCCGTTCTTGGCGTTTTCTTTTCTTTTTTTAATTTAAATTAACTTGTTAATTAACTAAATTAAATTAACTAGTCCATTATAAGTATAAATGTGAAAATTACATTTTATAATATTGTTTTTTAATTTTTTAAATTATCTTTAAATATTAATTCTGGATTTTTTTTTTTTGTTGGTACGCCTTGCCTTCGTCATTAATTTCCTGACGGAAGCTAGTCGACTGTTCTACATATATACATATTTCATTTTTAATATGTGTATTGTAATATTAGTTAAGATTCATGTACCATCAATCACTATAGTTTATTATTACCATTATCGGTCGTATAATATTATATCTCTGATGGTATTTTAAAATTTTCAGCCCTGAAGATGACCCACATGTTTGAGTTGAAACGTCGGCTCAAATAAAAAAAAAAATTTAAATAAAAAGACTGCGTACTGAATATTTATCATTCATTAAATTTCAATGATTGAGCGATCCTTTTGAATTTGGAGCCCTCTCCTTTAGGTGGAAAAACGCCACTTGACTTAAAAAATGATTGATCATATCCATAATTATTTAAAAAAAAATTTTTAATTGCCATTGTAATCTACCTAGAGAATGAAAATTAATTCTTATAGATATTAATACATTGTAAAAAATTATTTCCATATTATTTAGTCGTTAATTTTCCGTTTTCAGAATACTATGGGTATCATTCCTATGGACCAACTAGTGTCTAATATAATTTGAGTATCCAATTTGGTGGAAAAGTTCCCTTGTTGGGGGGAAATCCCAAGATTGGGAGGGGAAAAAAGGGAAATAATTTTCATAATTAATTTATCACTAATCTGAGCACTGTTTAATCTATTTAAAAAAATATTATTAGTAAAACAAACATAAACGAGTGGTCACCTAGAATTCGTATTATTTTGTATATATTTGAGTGGAAGGAATTTTTAAGTTCGTTATGAGGGGAAAAAGGGGAAATCTCACTGAAAACCTTTCAACGCTAAGATTTTGACGCATAGCGGTTGACTTCTTAAGGGGGGGGGGGTCGTTTCCCCTAGTGAAAATGTTGAGGGGACGAGAATATCGTTTGGCCACCACCCCCAAATATTTTGAATTAAAAAAAAAAAATTGATAAGAAATAAGCTACAAGAATGAATAAAATATGTAAACTAAAATCGATTCATAAAATAATTAGTCGACTAGCTGGGGCTATAACTTAGGACCTATAACTATTTTATCACGACATAAATATTTGTATTACTTAAATTTTCATTCATATTCAAAGATAATAATATAGAAACATATCCTTGAATTTTATGATGATCCATTCACCATTCATGTGGACACCCCCATTTTAACGTGGTTTTGTTATAAATTTTCTGCGATAAAGTTGGAATAAATATATTTTTTATATAGAATATTTTTATAGACATTTTTAAATAGTGTGACTGTGAAAAAGTTTTATTTTTATTTGAAGAAATCAGTTTTTAATATTTTCTATTTTTAGCTGAAATAGTTCTAGAAAGTTACCTACATTATTGTCTACAGGTGCCCCCCTTCCTCTCATGTAGATATTTTTAATTAATTAAGACCATAAAAAAAAAATCCTAACGTGTCTAAACAAATTTATAAATTTAATTTAAAATATCGAATATTATATGTATACGTTTCAGAATAATTATGTTGAATTTGCACTCATAATAATAACTTGGAACTACCCCCATTTTTTCTCCCAAATTCCAGTTATAATTGTTGTCGTCTTAACTGTACGTTAATTATTGAACTGATAATATTTTTATTGTTAGATTTATTAAACGAATAATTTTATTAAAATGTTATCATTACTATTTACAAGTATTATTATGTATTATATAATACTTTAAGATGACTATGGTATGTAATATATAGTCACCAGTCCAATCTCTTCCCCCTCTCACATTTCTTAGTACATATTACTTTTTAATAATTATTTTATCAACCATTAGATAAATTTATTTTAACAGTTATCTCAAGTGTTACTTATCGGTTCCATTATTTATTTTGTTTTTAATCTGTTTTTCATTCTACTGGTTTCTAAGTGAATAATAATGTGTCATATATTTCACATTATTAGTAAAATGGTATTTGTAACTTTAAATTCTAAAATTTATTTATAAAATATTAAAAAGTTTGCCATATATGTAAATTTCTGACAATTTGTTCTGCCTCTTTTTTTTTTTTTTATAGCTTTGTTTTTAGCATTGCAAATTAAATTTTATTTAAAAATGGACTAAGGTTAAAAAAAAATTAAAACAAAGCTACTATTTCTTGTAGTTAAAGCGGCATGCTTCTTAAAAAACTGACATTGGTGATATTGCTAGATCTACATTTTTGTTGGGTGGGACTTTGTTTTTATTATACTACTAAATAAATTTCAAAAACTTGATTTTCGAATTGATCAAGTGTAGCGTATATATATTGATGAAACTATCGATATTCTGTTTTGACAATGACTCAGTGTACATGTGACGGGACATTTCTTCCGCCGGTCGAATGCAACAACAGACCGGAAACCTGGTCCTCTGCCGACATTCGGCCACTTCCGGTTCCACCGCACGCACCTGCTGGCTCAGCAATCAGCTTCCCAACGCCCTTTAAAAACGCCTTTCCAAATCTATTATATAAATCATTTGTTAATTTTACTGTAATTTATTTTATATTTATTTTGTATTTGTAAATGTTCAATGTCCATCAACTGCATTAGTTTTCTTCAGTCGGATAATTTTTGAGTGAAATATTTTATTTTATTTTTAAAATAATGTTTATCACTCTGGAATAAACAGGAAAAAAACTTAGTTAATTAACAGAAAAAAGTTAAACGTGTCGGTAATGGGCACTTAAAGAGAATTTTACATTATCAATGTGAATCACAACTTAAGTTCTGTAGATCATTCCAAATGGGATTAATTGATAGAAAATTTAGTCTTTTACTAATTTCGTTTTTTTTCTATTCAGTCAATTAGTTTATTATACATGAAATATTTAGGAAATTCTGACAGATTATTTTCTATCAGTAATAGACACTCAGGTTTTGGGGTCGACATATTTTTGTATAGAATAAAAATATATTCTCCACAGTTTTAAAGAAGGAAAAATGGCAAACTAGGGATGAATAAATCAAATATTCATACCTATCTCTTAAAGAAAACTGACAAGCAAAGATCCCTGAAAGGAACATCGTCCATTGCTCCTTTGAAAAATCAATTTAAAAAATCAACCAACGGCTATTGAGGTATGATATCACCTGAGGTTCAGACATCCCCTTTCTAAGTGTTCTAGCTTCAAATCTATTCGTATTTCCACTCCCTTTTGGACATATAAAGCTTATTAAATATTAACAAGTTGATAACTATCTTATTACTGGTATCTGTACAGTATATGGACTGATGTTTAACTGAATAAAAAAAGAATCTAGTCACAGAAACAATTTTTTTTTTTTATAGAGAATCAGATTAAGCCGTCAGATCGCCGATGTATAACGCTCGGAGATCGGTAAAGTCTGATGGAGTCGACTAATTGAAGTGTTTTCACATATAGATTAAAATATCTTAAAACTAAAAATCTGATCTGTATATTGTTAGCGAGAATTTTTTTTTTCATTTCATCCTCTTTGTAAATGAGCTATAATTCAAAATCGTATCTTAGCACGACGTCGTGTTAGAGAGACAAAAAGGGAAGGCATTGCATAGTGTCGAAATCCGAATGATAACGAGTTTTATTGAAGATATGGATTAAAATATCTCAGAAACTAAAAATCTGACCTGCATACTGTAAGCGAGAGAAGTATTCAACATTCCATCCTCTTTGTAATGAGCTATTATTTATAATTTATATTTCATATTATTAATCTCGCTTTATTGCTGTTTTCATTTCTATCGTCTGGTCTAAAACACACATCTTGATTTTTTTAATGATTTTTCTTGGGACATGATTATATTTAGTAGATGTTTGTGCGTTATAATTTAAAAGAATATATTATTATTTGTTTAATATTTAGCTAAGATCACTAGCATAAACAAATTTGGACCAATGGGAACATTTTAGGGATTTTCAGACAAGAAAGCCCTCCCCCAACCCTAGTTCCGTCAGTGACCTAGACTATAGTTCGACCGGGTTTAGTTGGTAGACAGGGGGCGAAATCATGCGGCACAAATTTGAATCTCACATTTTGTTTATTCCTAACTCTCTAATTTTACCTACAAAATATTTAAAATCACATAAATATATTGAAAGCTGGTATCTTCGTAATATTTTGTAACTGACATCGAAGAATTAGGGGAAAAAACAGAAAGTGAGTTTCAATTTTGTACCATACTCTCGAGTTGCTAACTAATTGTGGTTGAACTCATTTCATTTTTCTATGAAAATACTGTAGTAGTCCAAAATAAATTTCTGATATTACCTTTTGACCTAAGTCATTTACTGTGATCAAATTTAATATCCTGTCTAAATTTGACTATATTTTACAATAAATGCATTTTAATATTTAATAGTATTTCTTTCATAAAATGTACACTGAAAAAAACCCTTGCTTTTAAATATTTCTAACTTACATAATTATTCAAATATAAGGGATTAGAGCTTATAGTATTGTAAATAAAAAAATCTAATCATTTTATTTATTTTTAATGTTTGTTTCTTCACATTTTACAATCGATTGGAATGTTGTTTATTTTCTTTATACTAGAGGCATTGCATAATGTCGTAAGATAGTAATAGATTAATAATAATTGATTTGAAATTTGCATCACAGCAAATGATAATGAGTGTTATTATCTTTTTTTTTATTTGTCTTAGAAATCTGGAATGTCCACTTCTCAGAAATAAATGAGGATATTGTAGAAGATGTAATTTATAAATTATAGGATATATCTTGGTAGTTTAACATCTAGAAAGTCCTCAAAAATCATAATGTTTCTATTATTTTTTTTGTTAGTCTTGAGAAAAATATCGATGACTTCACTAATAAAACAATTGCATATCCATAAAAACAAACTATTTATTTATTTTTTTTATACGAAAACAAAAACGCTGCAAATTATTTCACAATAATTTATTATTTCCCAACAATTATACATCCAAAGTGACAAATTAAAAGAAATAAAAAGTACAATATCGACAGAAGAAAATTATTTTATTGCCTCTGGCCACAAATGCAAAGAACGCATACAGCGTGCAGAGCCCTCTTAACTTAAAATGCCCTTGGGCAATAAAAGGAAAGTTGAAAATTTATGTATATATACATTTATATACATACTGAATTTATTCAAGAAATTCCTGGGGGGTAGGGAAAAAAAAAAAAAAAAAAAAAAAAAAAAAATCGACAGAAAAAGTGTACATTTTTTTAAATTATTAGGAATCTAATTTTACCAACCCTCGTAACTTTTTTTCTAGCTCCTTTTCGTTAAAGTATGTTATATAGATCAATTTAAAGGACATCGAGAAAAAAACTTTAGACAAGTTTCAATGAAATAGGTACATTCGTTTAGGCGCTACAGTCTATAGCAAAGCAGCTTTTTCGGCTGCCATCTTGAAAGAAAAAGGCGGATAGTAGTATCAATGAAGGAGGAACATCTTCAAGTGACCTCTGAGTTTAAATCCGAATTTGAAAAAAATCAGTGCAGTAGTATCGGAGAAAATGCGTGGACGGCGGTGGACAAAAACATTTTTATTCGTTTTTCGAATTCTACGTATCCTGAAACGTAAAACCTCAAATTTTGAGAGGGGATTAAGTTTTTGAATTTTTTGTTCGATTAGAATGATTCATTATTGAAAATAATAAACCAATATATATTTCTTGAAGGAAGTCAGTCGACTGTACTAGATATCATGGGTGATAAATATTCAGGACGCAGTATTTTTTTTTTAAATTAATTTTTATTTGTGCTATCGTTTCAAAGCTATTTTATTATAATAATGCATCATTATAGATAATACTATTAAAAAAACATTAATAAAAAAAACTTCAGAAATCAGGAAATCCTATTTTTTTTTTTTTTTTTTTTTTTTTTTTTTTTTTTTTTTTTTTTTTTTTTTTTTTTTTTTTTTTTTTTTTTTTTTTTTTTTTTTTTAGAGAAATGTCATTCTATATTTACTTAAACATCTTGGTAGATTCCTAAAGAAATCGACATATACTAATATTTACATATATTGTGAGTACTTGAACACCCTCAGTGCTCAAACCACACCTTGAAGATGACCCACATGTTTGGGTTGAAACGTTGGCATAAATAAAAAATTTTTATTTTTATTTGTTTATTTAGACATACAATATTCTGTCACAGGGACAATAATTATATTGATAAATGAGCACATTCACACCGTATATACAAAAAAAAAAAAAAATTAACAAAGTAAAACAATAACTAAATAATAATAAATAAAAACTATATACAATGAAAAAACCTAAATATAAGTAAATTAGAAATATAAAAAATACAATCATACCTATATACAATATATAATTATATAAAAAGTTAAATTAAAAAAAAAGACTGCTTCCTGATTATTTATCACACACAATATATATTTCAATCTAGAGAAAATTCTAATTTTGGTTGTCTGTTTCTTATCGTATTTTGAAAAATCCCTGACTTAGTCAAAAAATTAAATAAAAAACAATTGTTTTATTTTATCATTGTTTTGTTCATTCACGGTATTCTGAATAATGATTCTTTAACTCTTGAAGTCGACTCCAAAATGCTTTAAAGTTTGCCTCTGCCCTTCATTAATAGTTACCTACAAGTTGTGCTAATGCTTGATTGGCCACTGTTCCAGATTGATTGTATTTTATGTTTGTTACTGCATTACTATTGGTCTTAGGGTATACTTGAATACTCACTTAAACACATTAGTGTACATTGTTAAAGAAATATATGAATATTTAAGTCTTGAGTTTCGTTTTGGTTGCAGCAGGCACTCAACTACTACTCCAATTTTAAATATTCGTAAATATATATTTTAAATAAAAGTGTTCAAGTAAATATAGAAGGACATTCCTTTAGGATAAACATGATATCCTGATTTCTGAAGTTTTTTTTCATTCATAAATTTTTTTAATAGTATTATTTTCTATATATTATTATAATAGTCGCTTTGAAGTAGCATTATATCGTTAATAAGAAGAATCGTGAGGAGTGGTTCAGTTTAGGATACCCTCGTTGGTATTTGGAAGACAGCCGGGGAGACTGTTGCCGTATAAGGCTGACTAACGGTCCTCTCCAGCAAGTAAGGAAGGATTTAAGATGAGAGCCAGCAGCTTGGAGTTGGAGCTCCAGCAACCTGTTCCAGGTCAAAAAACTCTCGGCCCTCTTCCGTCCGGGCTGGATGGAATATCTTCCAAATTGTCTGGAGTGTATGATGTGAGGTGTACTGTGTCCGTCTTCGAGAGCTCCAGCAATGATGTAAAAAAAAAATAATAATAATTCGGCTAAATAGTGGTAAAACCATTTTTATTTCAAGCCAACGTTTCGACCCTACTTTGCAGGTCTTCTTCAGGGAGGTGAGTTCAGCTAGGAGTTACACTTAGAACATACAGACATACACTTGAAACAATTCAGTTTCAACTCCTAGCCTAACACGCCTCCCTGAAGAAGGCCTGCAAAGTCGGGTCGAAACGTTGGCTTTTAATAAAAATACTTTTACCATTACTTAGGCTATTTATGACCGCCACCCCGGACCATTTCCTTCTTTTATAATGCAACGGTCAACTATTAAATATTCAAAATAAGAATTCATCTGAATATGGACCAAAAAACTACACAAGTAACTTACTAACTACCTAAGAAGTTTAGTTTTAATTGAAAAAGCTTCCAAGATGCTATATATTTCTATGATTTTACATACTATTGTTGGATAATAATGATTTCTATTAATTTAAATACAGTGCCTGGTGGATACTGGCGGATAATTATAAATCGGAATAAATTTGAATTAGACTAAATATGTAGTTATTAACTAAACATGGCGTCGAATTTTGGCCGGATTTGCTCTTGTTACTATACGAGGATAAATCAACTGCCCTCTTTGCAACAGGTAGATATAATTGAAGTAAATACAGTCTTGGCGACTGAAATGAAAAACTGTAAAGTTGTTAAGTTATATTTTAATTTAAAAGCAACAATTATATCAGCTGTTTTTTTAATATAACAGTAAATTTATTTATTAGTTTTATTATCATCTAACATTTCTGGCGTTGTCAAGTGATTTTGTTACACATTCTATTTAATTAATAGTTGAAGGTACTTGTAGAAAACTTCTTAACCATGTTCATTAATAATTTAATCATGTTATATACGTTTGATTAGAGAGTGGAGGAGGGAGGATAGCTCAGTGGTAGGGCACTGAGCTAATGCTAAAGGTCCCAGGTTCTTATCCTGGCTCATGGCAGAAAAATTATTTATCCTGTTTGATTGGTCGTGGGACGACCCTGGGTCGGGAAACCCTTTCGGGGCACACCCAGCCTCTATGAAGTGGGTGCCCTTAATTAAATAATTAATTAAAGCAGGAAAACTTGGCGTTTGATACTGTTGCCCAAAATCGGTCTTGGTCTTGCACTTTGCAGGACCAAGACCAATGCCGCCTAACTATTGCAAGACCAAGACCAGAACTGGTAAAAAAAATCGATGTTTTTATAAGGCAAAATAGTTACTAATACTTGACAATCTTAGTTACTCATATGTAAATAATTGGTATAACCAATATAGTTTTGCATTTAATTCCTCTAATTTCTCATTCAGGTCTAGTTAGGTTTCTCCTATCTATAAAATACAGTTCTGTAAGACTGTTGCGGGACTCTTGTGCAAGACCAAGACTCGTCTGGGTCTCGCATTTGGGCAACACTAGTGTTTGAGCGTGATCTCGGTCCAATTACCTCCTTGTGCAACCGTAGCCCAAGAAACAGTGCTTTTTACTGACCCCAACGCAAGATCCTTCATCCCTTGTAGTCTACAGTTTTTTTTTTTTTATATATGCGTTTGATTGTATACGTGAAATTCTCAATTTAAATCAATCTACTCATATATGGACACACACATATATGAGCCTTTCTGTTAACAGAATGACCAGCACCAATTACAGCATTTTTTTAGTACAGACAGTGAATAAGTTGATTTCAAATTAGGTTATTCCAATGTTGAAATATAAAATTGTGAATAAAGATATAAATTTTCCCGTTAGAAATATCAGTAAAATTAATAATAAAAAATGTTAAAATTGGGATCATTCATTCTGTCAACAGAAAGGCACTTATATCATGTGATCTTAGATTATCCATAGCATTGATATTCTTTGCCTTTAAATCGAATTTCTCTATAGGTTTCGATAATTTGTCGATCCATCCGCTATCCTTGCAGAAGGAAGATGACTCGCTTGGAAAGTTAAACCTTCATCCGTTGTTAACAGAGCAAACTTAAACTAACTTACCCTTGGCAGTTTACAGCTGATTGCCCCCGTCCAATCGTGACACCGAAGAGGCTGTCTGCGACAGTGATCTATGGCTTTAGAACAAGAGGAAATGGCATGGCCCAAGCGAATAATTTATATCGCACTGCCTACCACGGTCCCTCTATACATTTTTTATAAATACTCTATGTGATAAAACAACTCTACCATCTTCAAGAATATTATTTTCGTTCCATAATAAACTTCTCTATTCTTTAGTTATAAATCTTTAAATATTATTTATCATAGGTATTTATTTCTCGGTGAGCCATTATTTTGAAGATTTTCCTCTCCTTTTTGTGAAAAAGATAATCAGATCCCTCTACCGAAATTTAAGAAACAGAGTTATAAAGAATTAAATTTTTTTTTCCTGGAAATAACTCAAAAATAATACATTGCAACTGAGATTATTCAAAACGTTATTTAATTCCCTAGAAGACCAAATAAAAATAATCGATATCAGACCATTACTTTCAATGATACAGGTTATTTTAGTTTGCAACCATATCAGCTTAAAACATAAGTGAAGTTTTAAAATGAGAAGTGACCCCGTCCACCTTATAATATGTTACATTATTTTATTTCCTCATGCTCAACCATTTTTTGGAAAATTCTAAAACAAATCCATAAGTCTCTCAAACATCAATAAGTTGGTATAGTACACGATAATGTAAGAAATATAGCACAAGTCATATATTTTCATAACCTACTTCAAGACATTTCAACATATATTCTTTGTAAATATGGAATGACACTAAATGTCGATCTACCTGCCAGTTTCTCTATTTTTTTAAATATTTATTAGAATTTTAATGTTATACCAATTCGTTTTCTCCGAATGAAGAATAGAACTTTTGTAATTAAAGAAATATTTTTTAATTTTAATATTGATTTAGATGGCAGCCGGATACCTAATGGAATATCGATGATGGAACTAGTCCTAACTGAACAGTGCGGGTAACAACAAGATGGCGGTTAGGTGATGTTTCGACACGGCTGTTAGAATGTTATTGCCGTTAAGTAATGTAAGATGGAGATGTAGGTCGTCTCAAGGATTCCTTCCATTCCATTCTTGTATTGTCTCCTTTCATTTCCATAGCCATCGTAATTGCCGTCGGGAGTCGAAAGCTCCCGATCATAATTATATGGCTACCAAGTAGTGGGAGATGTAGCACACATGTAGTTGGGTCTGATCAAAATTAAACAAATGGATTCCTCGCCATTTATATTGGCTTAAATTAATTAATTAATTGTATTTAACGGTTGGAAGTTTATTTAATAAATTAAATAGTGAGTAAGCAAAAAAAAAAATTATATCGATAACCTACTAATGGTTTCATTAAAGATAAGCTGTTATTAAAGAAATACTTTAAGGTTATGTGCCATCTATATTTTGTTATGTTAAAACTCACCGTGTAATATTAAAGGCCTGAAATATTAAATATATATTATATATCTATATATATTATATAGAAATATTAAATGTAATATTAAAGGTTTTTTCCAGACAGCTTGTTAAATTTCGCAACCACTCCTTTTTTTAGGAAGCTTCCAAAATTATTTAAAAGTCAATAATTTTATATAATTTTGTGCTGTTTATTTTAAAACATTTTATTGACTGAATTAAAGTTAAAACAATCAAAAAGACAGAAACCAATATGGTTTTGTTTGACCTAAAAAATAACCTATACAGTTAATAATGGTTTCATTAAAGATCAGCTGTTATTAATGGAATACATTAAGGTTATGTGCCATCTATATTATGTTGTGTTAAAACTCACCGTGTAATATTAAAGGCCTGAATTAATGTTTTTTCCAGAGAACTTATTAAATTTCGCAACCACTCCTTTTTTGAGGAAGCCACCAAAATTATTTAAGAGTCAATAATTTTATAATTTTGTGTTATTTATTTTAAAATATTTTATTGACTGAATTAAAGTTAAAACAATCAAAAAGACAGAAACAAATATGGTTTTGTTTGACCTAAAAAATAAAATGAAATTTGCCGCCCTTTGAAATAATTCCCGAAAGTATATTTTTTATTATTATTTAGAAGTAGTAATTACATATATCTTACAGAAAGTTTTTTTAATATTATGAAGAAAACTTCGCGATTAAATATAATTCTTTTATTTTTTATTTATCATAAAAGAAATCATGTATCAACTACAATCTAAAACGTAGTTTTATATATGGCTTTCAATTAAAAAACCTGTTTTTCTAGTTAAGTATCAAGGAATTTTTACTATCATCTGTTTTTCTTTATTTTCTTGTTGAATGTATAATTAATTGATATGGCATTGTTAAGGACGATTATATCATCTTGATTATTTATTATTATTAATATAAGCATTTTTATGTTGTTCAAAACGTTTATGCACAACATTGTACCTGTCTTATTTTTTCACCTAATAAGTAGATTTATTAATACTGATTAATTTATTTTAAATTTATTAATTCGTTTTCAAGTAATTCGAACATCTTCAATACTAGATCCCGGCTTATTGTAATGAATTTATTCATTGCGTATTGAGTATTTGTTCAGATTTGTTTTTCATGAAGTATTTTAATTGTGTTTTTCTTTGAAACAACACCAATTATACAATAATTAGTTTATTTTTCTTTAAATCAAGGATTTTCTTTTAAATAGGCGTGTCTTTAAGTATATAATTATGTAATCTACATAAATGTTTAAAAAGGTAAATACTTGGCAGATATTTCTTTTTTTTTTAAAGATGATGACTTGATGACTTTGTTAAACAGTCTTTTAAGAAAAAATAAATAAATAAAAGTATTAATTAAATAATTTAAAATTATTGAGGGTACTCAGAATTACCTTATCCTATTTTTACTAATGTCTGACTTTGAAATATTATTTTCCCTACCTAATTTAAGTTTTCCGGTAATGGATTATAGTAACGTATCCAGAATTTAATTTTGGTGTAGACACTCAAGGGTTAAGGGGGGTTACGTCATAGCTACAAGCGGAGGCCCCGCTAGAAAAATTTCTAAAGGTCACCGTTCAAAACTGCCTTTTTTCACACCACTTGTAGCACTGAACTTGAATTATTAGAAATGTAATTTTTTTTTCTCTTTTATTTTATTTTTTTAATTGCGAAAATAGCGGCAATAATAATTTTCTAGCCAAAATTTTAAAATATTTTTTTCTGCAAAGTCATCGCAAATAATTTATACCAGAAATTAATTTTAATTGGGAACTTTCGTTAATAAAGGTATTTCTTTTTTATTTGATGAGAAGGCTTAATTTTATCAGTTCAAGTTTTTGGCTGATATAATTTATAGAAACCTAATTGGACCGACATAAGTTTCATCTCGATCTAGTATTTCCATTCGGTTTATCTTTTAAGACTAATGTAAAGTGTATTATCTCTCATCTGTTTCTTCACATGTTTATAAGCCCTAATGAAGGCTGAATGTACGTAAATAAAGTAATGAGCAACCTTCAGCCTTTAAGAGCCCATGCTCATAATTAACTTTTTTTTTTTTTTAACATAACAAAATAAGGAGGATTGAGTATGGAGGGCAGTCGATGTTAAATACGTAGAGAGTGATTAGTGGTATCTGCATCGAACCTTCAGGTTCGCTAAGCCTTTATTATTATATTTCATAAGTTATATGTTAAACGTTATTTAGAGGAAGATGACTTCTTCGTAACCTCTCGGATTTCTACTCCGCACTTGAGGTACATCTTTAACTTTGTCATTCATTAACTGGTACATAAGATACTTTGGGTTTTACTATTTTCAGTAATATGCTAATAATAACTAGCTTTAGTTTTTTTTTTTTCTGTATAAAGAGGCCGTCCGAAAGGTATTATCCTTACCAAGAGGTCCTTGAGGAGTCCTGATAGTCATTGAGGACGAGAGAAGCGGTGACGATCGTACGGGAAGTCATGCCCCGAGGAAGGATATCTTGTGTGGAGAAAGGAGATAGCGCCTCACGGTTGCACTCTTATCTCCGACACGACTATCTGTCTGTCTGTTTGTCCTGTCTGAGGGTGTCTTTGCTCCTTACGAGTTCTATTGAACTCTATTGGCTAACCTCATGGCTTCTTTTGATAGTTTGTATCTCATCTTGCAATTCAATAATGTTGTTTCAATACGATAAAGATGTAGTTAAAATATGATAAAAGCTTATTCTATAAATTATAGAGAGTTTCGTTCGGACTTAATTTCTTATCTATTCGGGTACCTTCTAAGATAAAAAGTCCGAAATCTAGTACAAAGCAGCCTTTTATGAGAGTGGTAGATCATCTTCCAAGCCTCTTTTTATACATCGCTAGCGGGTTCAGGATTTAATTTTTTTTTAGGGGGGGCTCTAGCTCGAAAGCTTTTTTTTTTTATAAAAATAACGATAATTACTTTGGATAAAAAGAAAGAAACTTAACTGCCTATATGAAATGGTGTTTAAGTGATTTCTAAAGTCCTTTAAATGTAATTACACGGACAATAATATTTTAAGATATAATTTTTTAATATTGGTTCCATAAAACATGGCTATATTTTACCATTTGGTGGGGGAGAAGGGGTGGCTTCAGCCCCAAAGCCCCCCCCCTCCCTTTGATCCGCCCGTGTTGTACACAATGAAGAACTTTGGTAACTCGGTAGTTTTCATCAAGACCTCCAAAATATTTACCAACTTCTTCACTGTGCACACTAAGCTTCTGAGATGATCACTAACCATAGAATTCATGAGGACCATTTTTTTGACTTGTCAATTTATTTCCCAAGACTATAGATTTATTAATAACAAGTAAAATGAACAATAAAATCCCTATTGTTAATCCCTTGATAATGGTTCTTGAAATATTATTAATATGTATTATTGTTAATCTGTTTTGTTTATTGTTTCTCCGCAATATTTTTGTGTTTTATATAACAATACTTAATTTATTCTAGGACAAGTCCCTTGAGAATAATATACAGAAAAATAATACTATAAAATTATTATAGAATATCTTTTGTCAATTTCGCCAGTAAATTTCTGGGCGTCATTTCAACTCTGCTTTTCTTTCTTGTTTATGCTACAAAGTTCTAAAATCATTTTAATTGTTATTTTATATTATTAATATTTTTTAGTTATATTCTATCCGGTTGTCGTAAATCTAGTTTAGAAGATAAATTGATAGTCCTTGAGTTTTTCTTTTCCCTTGCTTTCTCATATTTTTCGTCGTTAGATAAGGTTAATCCGAATTGATAGAGGAATTATGTTTTTAGAAATCATTTACTGATTATTGCCTTAATCTCTCATAAAACAAATATAACAAGATTTCTCTAAATTTATTAACTTTTGTATATTTTTCATTGTACTCTTTTTAAGTTTATCCCATATAGAGTTAATAAATGTAAAAACGTGCAATATATATATATGCTATATGCTGTATAAAAATAAAAAAAATATATATATATATATATATATATATATATATATATATATATATATAAAACTAAAAGCTTTAATGTAAATCTAAGTGTAATTATTGATTTTTTTTTCTGTTTTATTTTTCTTTCGGGGTTAATAACCGTTATATAATAAAATATAAAAAAGGCCTTCCCCCTCTTCTCCTATCCCCCAACGTAAAACGTAGTCCTGAATCCGCTACTGAGTAGAACTGATATTTTTTTTTTTTATTAAGGTTAGAACTTCCATTTTTTTATATTATGGTTCCAAGTTGGGATAGGCCTGAGGTGCTTGTACTGAAGATGGCGGTGGAGTAGACACTACTGAGCTGAAATGCTTAGCCGACACTTTATCACTAGCAGAGCCGCATCGTTTTATTTTAGATACCCAAGTCCTTGGCATCCTTTAGATTCTTTTTTTAGAGGTTGCTCTCTCGGATATTACATTATTTTACTCTTCTATCTTCTTCTTATTTCGTTTTGTTTTTTGGTTCTTTGCTGATACATGTTCATTTTTTAAATTAAAAAAGTTTTGAAGTGTTTTGAAGTTAAAGACTAATTGAAGTGTTTTTGCATATGGATTAAAATATCTCAAACACTTTGAGACTGATAATATGCTGTTAGAGAGGCGGAAAAGGATAAAATTAATGTTGAAAACCAAATGATAACGAGTTTTATGGAAGATATGGATTAAAATATCTCACAAACTAAAAATCGGACCTGCATACTATAAGCAAGGGAAGAAATGTTCAACATTTCATCATATTTATAATGAGTTATTATTTATAATTTTTATTTCATATTATTAATCTTGCCTAGTTGACGTTTTCACTTCTTTCGTGTGGTCTAAAGCACACACATCGTAGCCATTCGATTCTTTGCAGCACAATATAATTTTGCTAATTTAGGGTCTTTGCTTTCATCGTCTTTAAAAAGGAACTTATATTCTCAGTTGATGAACAATCAAGCACTCTTGTTGTGTAATGGTTCGGAAGCAAGTAACCATAGCTGTATCGATAGGTTTTTTCGTTTAATTTAAACTAATATTATTCAATATTGTTTATGATTTTCGTTTCCTCACCTGCCTCGGCAAAACATGGCGGCGTAGGCAGAGTTTTAGTGCAAATCAATTGCGGGCTGAAGTATTCATCAGAAGAGTGTATTTTGGCGCTAGTTGCGTTACCAAAATTTTTGATGCTAGCATCATGAAAAATTCATCGAACAAACCAAAGCAATAGTAATTATATATGCTCTATATGTTTTCTATTTTTTTTTTCTCTAGCGCCGTTTTTAAGAAGAGGAAAGCAATCCACATAAGATGAGTGGATGGACGGGCACCCCTGATTGTGGTATAATCACATTTTGTGTACACTTACCCTCTTACTATCACGTTTTAGCATCTCCAAATTAGTTCATTGATTACTTTTTTTCCGATTTTAACTGAATATTTAAAATGAATAGTCCGTAGTACAGACCTCTTTTTATGAAATTATTGACATCCGCCTAAAACTTCGTAAACATTATCGAAATTAGGGCGTTTACAATCTAGAGTAATTAGGTTCTAAAAATTCACGATTACCCAATTGCTTTCCACTTGAATCGTATGATGATACGGTTACAAAATCGAGAAGATAAAAAAATTGGTCCTTAAAAATATTAGGCCGTTTGGTCTATATGACCTGGTTTTTTGACATTTTCGGGATGGAGGTAAGTCCAAACTGGCCAATATTTTTTTAGGCCATTTTTTTTTTCTGATTTGTGATCATATTATCATAAGAATCGAGTGGAACGAAAATGTATATTTATGAGTTTTAGTACATAATTAAATTGACAAAGTTTGCCGTTCCCTAGATTGAAAATGCTCCAATTTCACGAATTTTCGTAAATAAAATGTTTGTAGGTTGCTATGAAGCTATATACAAAGTGTTTGGTGGCTGTTAATAATAATATGATAAGAAGGGTTCTGTACTATGGACTAGAACGATAAGATTTTATTTTTTTTTTTTGTCCTCTCCTTTCTCGCCTTTTAGGCAATACGTTTAGGCTATATTTCTGTTAGCCCGCTCTGCCACATCCTACTTCCATATTTCTGACAGTTTATTTTTTTTCGATGTTTACATCAGTACATAAAACTTCTGGAAACGAACTATGCCTCTTGGATTCTCTTATTCCCGGAGAAAATGTCTACGAAATGTTATTAAATGAAATCTATTTCATAAAAATGAACGTGATTGAAATGTGGATTTGAGTGATATATTTTAAAACTTAACAGTCCCAGAAATATCATTGAAGTTATATGAAGTAAATCGTGAATGTAATGTACTCTAACCCCATCTGTATTTTCTCTTAATGGTGAAGAAGGAATTTTTTTTTATCTTGTTGGACACCTTTTTGAATTATAGCCACTATCCGGTATGTTCCATTCAACGCTAATGAGTTCAATTAACGTCATCTTAAGTGTCTTTCCTTAGGCTCGTTGCTTTACTTTCACAATATCCACCAGAGTTCTCTGTCTGTACGTTCTTTTTTTTTTTTTCTTTCCTTTCTGTGTCTTGTCAGAAATGAACCATGAACAAGATTACGTGACTTTTCGAATGTATTTCCTCTCATTTCTGTAGATGTCTTCTGGTTTTCACGCTGCGAAAATAGCTTCTTGGTTTTTTTTTTTTTTTTTTTTGTGTCTCTCTATCGTTGAAACAGGTTAACATGACAATCACTGAAAAAATAAATAATATGTTACACTACTATATCCAAAAATGTTTTATTTTTTTGTTATGTTTATTAAGTTTTGCAAGTATTAAAACTTTTAAAATTATTCGTCTATGCGTACTATCTCCACTTTTTACTTTCACTTACGTATATATGAAATATATAGTAAGTGTAAGTATTACGATTGTGAAAATTTTCGAGTCTGAGTTTTCAATGGAAATTCATGTTTTGAGGTACTCTTGAGACCAAATACTAAGTCCCGCAAAATGGTTTGTGTATGTGTAAGTATGTATGTGACAGGTGTAACTCAAAAACGAAAAGTTATATGTAACTGAAATTACATATTTAAAATTTCTACATACCTTAGATGTTACATCAACTTTTTCGTCTAAATCGACTTACCAGAAGTGGCATTTTATATAATCGATTTAACATATTTTTACGATTTTCTCAAAAACTGCTCTAATGATTTTGATTAAACTCAGTATATCAGTGTTTTATTAAGCTGTTTTTTTAATATAATGTAGGTTTTATACTCATCGAAGTTCTCTAACAGGTCTTAAATGGCTAATTTTCAATATTAGCTTCCACTAAATTGCCTTTAGTTTTTTTTTTTTTTTTTTTTTTTTTTTTTTAAATAGAGAATAGTTAAACATAGAATATGAAAGAATTTGATAACTAACTAAAGGAGAAATAAGAGATCGTACCAAATGGATATGAGTTCTCCCGAAAGATTATAACAGTCTTCCACACGTAACATGAGATTAATATAATACGGACTCCGAC